AGAAGATTGGGTTGCTACATCAAAATCCAAGATGGTTGTCAACACATGTATGTAAACCTTGAAAGCTGTATAACTTAACTTAAGACCCGTTGTGTGAACGTACTCTAAGTCTTGCCTTAACAACAGTATTTTTCAGTTTGGCACCATGCAGGCTTCTTTCTGTCAGTTCTCAGATAGTGATTGTAAGTAACAATGTGGATGCAACAATGTAAGCTGAAAGTTTTCCGACAATTTCATAATAATATAGATAAGTCATACACTACCTAAAAATTATGTTCAGTATGAGGAAAGATAAAGGTCTGACCTTTTTTAGCCTTTAATGTACAAATGTGCTTTGAAATGTGGGCTATTGGTATATGTGCATGTTGATTGATCAGTAGACAGAAATTATTTGTGATTCACTGATGACAGTCCTCGTCGTCTTGTGTCTACTGCTGCTGTGATTTAGTCCAGTTACAGCAAGGAAACACTGGGGGACAAAAGCTGATCAAAGCTGTTGAGACTGTGGGCAAATAGAAGCAGAGACAAGAACACAGCCTTTCTAGAACAGCCACGGTCAAACAGACATGCTGGCTGTGAACATAGCCAGAGAGAGATACACATAGCAGTGGACAAATAGGGAACATTTTTGTCAGGCAGACTCAAGAGTTTATTCGTTTAAATAAAAAGTAGTTTATGGAAAAGAAGTTTGGGCTGTTGTAGCTGTAAACGTTTCATGTAAACACAACTAACGTTTATCCTGATTGTAACTATACTGGAGACATGATATTTACAGAGAGCATGGAGGAGACTGGTTCTGCATACACATGAATAAACTTCAGCACTTTTCTTTCAGCTGTGGTGTTTTGTTTATGTGGTGTTTGTACGTTTTCCATGTTATCATGTGTGCGTTTTCTCAGGAAACTCCGGTTTCCGTCCACAATACAAAAACATCCATGTCAGTTGTGGACATGTCAAACTGGGCTCCACTGTGAATGTAGGCATGTCTTTGTGTTGTGCTCTGATGGACTGGGTCGTGAATGTTGGAGACTACTCTGAGGCTCAAAATAATGAGCAATATTTGAGAAAATTACCATTTTTCTTTTGCAGTCCCTCTGAGTGTTTGCAACCACATGACCAGTGATCTATACAGCTGCATTTTGTGTGGGCCGTTTCTAAAAATCACAGCCTATTTTTGTGTTCCCAGTTTGAAAAACCGTATTCTGTGCCTTTTGCCCTCTACCTACATCATACCTGCCTTGGCCCACTTTGTGCCTCACGACCCACCATGATGTTAAGGATTGACTCTACTGGACTACATTAGAAATTAAGATAGGCAAATTTAGACCTTTTATAAACTCTCTTTTTTTACTGAGCACCCCAAGTCCATTTAAAGACATATTGGAGATTCACTTGTGAAGGCCGTTCACCAGAAAGTCACCAGGTATTGATTTTAACAGTGGCAGCAACAACCAGCAGTTTTTCTCCGACCATTCCTGTAAAGAAAGTTTTGAGTTGAACCTCTGCAACATCTGACACAAACATCAATCAGTCAAATGAGCACACGTCTGAAATATATATATATATACATATATATATATATATATAGATATATATATA